CCCATTTTCAAAAACAATTTACTGAGGATTGGAAGTGTAGGCCTTTATTGGAGGGCCCTTTCCAGACAGTGAGGGACAGTCCCTATTTTGATTTGTTGGAAGCTGAATTTTCTGAGGAAGAGATATGGAGTGCTGTTAAAGGCTGTGATGGCAACAGGGCTCCAGGCCCAGATGGGTTTAACTTGTCATGCTTTCAGAAATTGTGGAAGGTATTGAAGTCTGATGTGCTATCTTTCATGGCTGATTTCCATAAAAATAGCAAGCTGGCTAGAGGGATAAATAGCTCATTCATTACATTGGTCCCTAAGAAGGAGAATCCTTTGGGTTTAGCTGACTACAGGCCTATCAGTCTGGTTGGGTCTCTGTATAAAATCCTCACTAAGGTTTTATCCTCAAGGTTGAAGGCAGTCATCCCTCACATCATTAGTGTGAATCAATCAGCATTTATTGGAGGCAGGAACATTCTAGATGGTGTGCTGGTGGCAAATGAGGTTGTGGATAGTTGGAAGAAATCTAGGAAGAGAGGTTTGATTTTAAAGCTTGATTTTGAGAAAGCTTTTGACACACTGAATTGGGAGTTTCTGTTCTCAATGTTGGATAATTTTGGGTTTGGTGAGAAATGGGTGGAGTGGATTAGGGTGTGCATAACTTCTGCGCGATTATCTGTGCTTGTCAATGGTGCCCCTACGGAGGAATTTAGTCCCCAAAGAGGGCTTAGGCAAGGGGATTCCCTGTCCCCCTTCTTGTTTAATATTGCTGCAGAGGGGTTGAGCATTTTAATGTCTAGAGCTTTGCATTTGGGGATAATTAAAGGGGTGAAGATTGGCTCAGGTGGGGTGGATCTTACTCACCTCCAGTTTGCAGATGACTCTCTAATATTGTGCGAAGCCAATGTTCGGGAGGTGCGAAATCTTAAGAAGATCCTGAGATGTTTTGAGATGCTTTCAGGCCTAAAGATTAACTACCACAAAAGTATAGTTAGTGGTGTGTGTGTTCCAGAGGAGGAGATGCTGGAATTTGCGTCAGTGTTAAATTGCAAAGTGAGAACTCTGCCATTTCAGTACCTTGGACTCCCTTTGGGTGCTAACCCAAGTAGGAAAGCATCATGGAGCCCCGTATTGGACAAGTTCAGAAGCAAATTATCAGGCTGGAAAAGGAGATTACTCTCTTTTGCTGGGAGACTTACGTTAATTAAATCTGTTCTATCCTCTCTGCCCATTTACTATTTGTCATTGTATAAATTGCCTCAAGGGGTAGCCAGAGCTCTGGATAAGATTCAGGCTTCTTTCCTCTGGGGTGGATCTGAATCGAAGAGGAAGGTTCACTTGGTAAAATGGAAGGAAGTAGCTAAACCAGTGGAGCAAGGGGGTTTGGGGGTAAGGAGAGTTAAGGTGGTTAATGATTGCCTTTTGTTGAAATGGAAGTGGAGGTTTGGGGTTGAGAACAAAGCTTTGTGGAGGAGGGTCATTTGTAGTAAATATCGGTTAGATGAGGGGAGCTGGAGCCCTCCTGCTAGCCCCATTAGTAGGCTCTCTAAAATATGGAATGACATATTATCAGGATCTGATCAGAGTGGCAGTTTGCTGGAATTCTTTTTGAATAACTGTAAGGTGAAGGTGGGGAATGGCCATAGAGTTAAATTTTGGGTGGATAAATGGTGTAACAATTTATGTCTCAAAGATGAATTCCCACTCTTGTATAGGTTGGTAGGTGAAAAGGGTGAGACTCTAGCTGCTATGCTGGAAAGGAAAGAGGCTGCTGGTGAATGGGTGTTCCACTTTAGAAGGGAGCTGTATGATTGGGAAAGTCCGGAGGTAACCAGATTGAAAAATCACCTAGAGGCAGGCTCAGTTATTAGGAACTCTGAAGAAGATACACTAGTTTGGATGGCCTCAAAAACAGGGAGTTTTTTTGTTGAATCAGTGTACAGATTTTTAGCAGCTGGCTTCGGTAGCTTCAGTCCAACCAGCAAAAGAATTTGGGTAAAACACATCCCACCCAGAGTTCAATTTTTTGGATGGCTTGCTTGGAAAGGAAAATTAAAGACTGCAGAATTTCTTACCAGGATTGGTGTACTTCATGCTAATGACTCCTCAGTATGTTGCCTGTGCAAATCTGGGGCTGAGACAATTAACCATGTGCTATTGTCATGCCAAGTGGCTTGGAGTGTGTGGTCTGCAATTCTTAAATGGTGGGATGTCCAAGGTGCATTGCCAGATTCAGTAGAGGCTGTTCTTGACTGGTGGGCAGGGGTGAGCTTTACGAAAAAGGCGAGGTTGATGTGGAAAGCTCTTCCTATGGTTGTTATGTGGTCTCTATGGAACCATCGCAATGAATGCTTATTTCGAGATGTTGCCCCAAGTGGGGAGGGTGTTTCTGATATGGTTAAGGTTAGGATGGCCTTTTGGTTTAAGGAGGTATATAAGGATTGCAGGTTCTCAGTGCATGATTTCATCTTTAATTTGGAGCACATTAGATCTTGCTTGGGAGATGCATACAGGGGTGTCTCATAATGTTCTTGCTGAGCGTGGGTTGGTTGATATTTTTGTGGAGTCCGCTTTGATTTGCTGTGTCATTAATCTGCCTTACCTGAGTTGTTCTGTTTAATCTTCTGCTCCTGCTCTGCCAATCTGCTTTCTGTATGTGTATCTGCTTCACCTGTGCTGCCAGGGTCACAGTTTGGTTTGTGTTGGTTTGCTGGGTGTAGTTCTGCAACTCCGTTTTGTTTGTTCTCCAGGTTTGCAGGCTTTTGTTGTGTTACTGCAGTGTTGCAATGTGCTGGGTCTGCAGTGAAGTTTTGTTCTGTTCTGCATTTGGAGCTGAGTGGTGGTCCTTAGCAAGTGCTGCAGCGAAGTTTTGCAGTGTTGATGCAGTGTTGCAATGGATTGTATTTCAATAGTATATGGGACTCAGAAGGTGCAGGCCATGGAATCAGTCGTGGGAGCTTAGGTTCTGGGAATTCAATAGGTCATGTATCAGAAGTGGCGGTGTATGGAGTCTGGTTCAGGACCTGGCAGTCTATTGTTTGCTTCAGTATAGCCTCTTTATAGACTTCCAAGTTTGTTCATTTTGCTAGTCCAGTCATGGTATAGTATGTTTGGTATAACTTTTTGGCTTTTCATGAAAAGATGTACAAAAAATAGAGAGAAAGAGAATTTTTGACTTTTTGGTATGGGTTGTTGACTTTTTGACTAATTTAATAACTTTTTGACTAAAAAAGAAGGCTCCCAAACGAGACCTAATTGAGTCCTTAATGAGTTGAGTTTGTTTGAGATAGGCTTATTTAGTGAATAGACCTAAAATTTGACTTGAAGTAAAAAAAAAAAAAAATAAATTGAGTCCTTAATGATGAGTTTGCAAACAATTAGTTCATTTGTGGTAGTGATTGCCGATTAAATTTGTAACTCTAATAATGCATAAAATGAATAAAATAATCCATATATAAACCCACAATTAAAATCCATCTAGAAGTCTCTAGTGTTTCATTGTTAACAATAGGTATAACTAGTACAATCGTTTCCAAACAGGACTACAAAAGTAGAAGACTCAAAAGCTTTTCATCTACTCTCGTCACTCACTACAACACTACCAAACCAAGCATCTTCTCTACTTTACGTAATGATCTTGGTCTGCACAAGATCTTCAAAGTCTTCCACAAATCTTTCTTAAAGCTTATAAGTATTAATTAGTGGTTTATGTAACACATCACTACCTAAAAATGACTTTATGTTCATAGAATAATCTAGTTTAACCAATTAAACAATGTCCAAACATTCCAAATATGCTATTAAGCATGTCCCAGGGACACGTGTCTGTTAGATGACTCATCACAAGTGTCCCATAGAACATATTTTAATCAGCAATGGTAAATATCATGAAAAACCTTTCATGAAAATAATCATGAAAGGTTTATAACCCTTGGATTACACTTGAATAAAACACTACACACTAATCAAGGTAATTCAAGGATCACAAAACTTTCATAATTATTTTCATAAAAAAATTTTCATGATCCATAACTTTTCCCAATTCTAATACTCCATTACCCAAATTAGCATCCGAGAAGCTTCATTGTGCTTATTAATTAAAGCATGCTAGAAAGGGATTACGTAGGTCAACAAATGTTGCATTCTGATTGGTTCAGAAGGCGTTTTCGACAACCCACTTAGAATTTTAATTATGGAGTGAATTAAGATTATGCTTTGTTTAATACTATGATTAAACAACGTGTTTGTCTTTTGTTTTTGTTTGGGAATCGTGATGTCCGAATATTGGCCCTGACGATATGTGTACGGTGAAAAGAATATGGAGCAACCACTTGTTAGATCCTCATTGGTTGATTACATATATACAAAACTCATCACAGAATTAATTATACAAAATAATTTTGATTATACATGTTAAATGATCGGGCCTATTATAAATGATACAGTTTCACTTAAATTACTCTACTTGTATTGATTTTGTTGTGTGGTTGATTTCGTATTCATAAACTTATTGGATTGGTTAAATAAAGGAACAAAACATGGTAACACTTGGACAAAAACTATAGGGAAAAAAGACTAACTAAATTTGTTTAAAAGTATATGTTCAATAATGTTATATATTCATATTTAAGAAAATATTCAAAATTTAAAAGGTATGAATTAAATTTATTTTGAATATGACTTATATCACACTAAATTTAAATCTATTTTAAATTGTTTAGAGCACTCACTTGTTGGATTCTTATTTGTTAAACATCTTGAACACAAAGTGGTAACACTTGGGTCAAAACTATAGGGTTGAACATATAGAGAGCCAAATTTACTATATTTGTTTAAAAGATTTAACGTTGTGTAATGAAAATCTACTTTTAAAAAAATTCAAAAAGTGAACTTTGTAGATCAAAGTTATTTTGATTACAACTCACATAACCACATCACACCAAATATAAGTTTACACTATAAATTTAAATTTCAAATATATTTTTATAAATATTTTTTCGTGGTACATAACAGTTTTGTTTAATGTTATTAGAGTGATGACAATGGTGATAGAAAAGACATGAAATGATTGATATTGAGGAGGGTATATAAGCAAAGCCTTGGTGCAGTGTTTGTAACAGGAATTGGAGACAACAAATATATACATATATTCAAATATACAACAAGAGATCAAAGTGGTGAAAATGGATGGGTTGATGATGGGTTGGGGGCTTCCAGCTGAGCAAGGGTGGAGGAAGCGACCTTGGACCCCTGATGAAGATAAGTTGCTTACTGAATATGTTAGTTCGCATGGAGAGGGAAGGTGGAGCTCTGTGGCTAAATCTTCAGGTAAATCAATTAGCAGTTCTTTTACGTGCGCATAATTTAATCACAGAATCAGTTTTCATCAATTGGGCTTTGCTCTATGCACCTTTTGGGAGAAGCTATTAGGCACATCTATGGTTTTATTTTTTAGGCTATCTTGGTTAGCTTAATTTGATTGATAAAAGTGTATTTGTTGTATTGTTGTTTAGTATGAAGGTTTAATTTGTTGATTTTGGGTTTTTCAGGGCTGAATAGGAGTGGCAAAAGTTGTAGACTAAGGTGGGTGAATTATCTTAAGCCTGGTCTTAAGAGAAGCAAGATTACACCTCAAGAGGAAGGCATCATCATTGAACTCCATGCCCTTTGGGGTAACAAGTAATGCAACTCTCTCTCTCTCTCTCTCTCTCCCATACGAGACTCACAATAAATACTTAAAAGATTATTTAGAATTTGAAATGTATAGACCAATCAATTCATTTTGAGTGTGTCTCATACCATATTAAGTTTAAATCGACTCTGTATACTCTACTTTCTAAACAAATTTTGAGAATTTTTTATTTTTATTTTTTCTCTAAATACAGAGCATTTATGTTCTACTTCTTACTCTCCTTTTTTACTAATATAGATGGTCTACAATTGCTCGATACTTACCTGGGAGAACCGACAACGAAATAAAGAACTATTGGAGAACCCATTTCAAGAAGAGAGGAAAGCCCTCCCAAAAGCAAGAAAAGGGAAAAACTCAACTACTTCTTGATCAGCAGATTATGAAACAAGAACAACAAGAACAACAAGAAGAAGAACAAGGAGAGAATGATAATGACATTAATAATAAAGTCTTGTCACAAGCAGAAGCAATTGATCAAAAAATGACTGATGAGAAACAAGGCAAACAAGAGACATTACTCTTTATGTACCCCAATATGGAGAATCTGTGCTTCCCTATGATGTATCAAGATATTGCATCTTGGTCACACACCATGGATGACTTGTGGAGTGGTGGCTTGTGGAACCTAGATGAACCACATGGTCGCGTGGATCAAGCAAATGACTATAACAAAATCAACTGGAACTAATTTAGTTAGTCAGAATTGTTGTTTTTCTAAATACAGATCAAGAGTTCAAGTTTTGTCAGTATACGACTTTTGGCCTCTCTGATGTATCCAAAATAAAAAAAAATAAAAAGCAAAAATTTAAGCAATTTTTTTTATTTTGTGGAGGGAGTACAACTAAATGATGCGGTGGAGGGTTCATTTTCTAAGATGGCAAGCATTGAAGATGATGCATAGGTTTCGAGCCTATTTGGTCTTTTAGTTTACTTGTAAACATTATTTAGGATTGCACACAACATGATATTATTGGTTTAATCCTGTTAAAAAATTTAAGTTTCGTCTCTTCCCAAAGTTTTTGCCATCTCCATTCCGCTTGTAACACTTGTAGTTTCATTTTTGGGTTAATTTTATTTTTACATTTTTAGTCTTTAACAATGTCATTTTGATCCATAATGTTTAAATTATTAATTTAATTTTTAATATACAAAAAGTGTTTCAAAAAGAGTGGACAAAGAGAATGGGATTTTATGATTTGTATCATAGAGCTGAGGTTAAGAATTTGTTATTTTTCTTCCTCATAAATGACCATTATCTAATTTCTATGCTTGTTTTATAAATAATTTTTACGAGCACAAACAATTAGTCACAAAATGTTTATGTACAAACACCATTAATAAATTTTATAAAATTTTATCAATTTATTGGTATTTTGTATCCGATTTTTGTGTTGTTTCATCATTAGCGAGAGATCATAGAGGATTTATTTTTTATTTTTTATTTTTTAATTTGTGGGATCATTTGGGATGTAGAGAAAATCACAGCCCACGTAAAAAGCCCATGTTTTTCGCCCAAGAACTAGAAAATAGTAAATGGGCCCAACTGGCTCAACACCCCGATCCAAATTGGAATGAAATTTATAATTTTAATTATTAATATTTATAAAAAAAATTAATTTATAATATTATTAATTTAAAATTAATTTTAAAATTTTACACCGAATTGAAATTCTTATAATTTAGAATTTTAGAGAAGATTTGGCTTTGGAATTGAAAGAAACTTTACAGAGTTGAATTAAATAATTACATTCCAAGGGTTGAACAGAGTCTGTGTGGACATGTTTGAACACATATTAACAGCAAGCGAAGTGGCTAGTTATGGTTATGATTTTGGATTTCTTCCCCAAAATCGATCCTCTCATTTCTGCTTCCCAACTAAGGTACCATTACTACTACTCCACTATTCTACTGTTTCTGGGTACTCTTCTGTTGGACTCAATTGTGTTTTTTTTTTTTTTTTTTTTTTTTATTGGATGTACCCAAAAAAAAAATTGTGCTTTTTTTTTTTTAAACAGAATTTTAGATTAGGGTTTGTGGGTTGTTGGGGTTAATTTAATGTTTGAATCCGTGTAATGACATTTAATTGTTTGGGTTATGGTGCCAATGGCTATGTGGTTCACTACGTCAAAATTCGGCTTTAGCGGAGATTTTTTATAGGACCGCCGTTTATACTCATGTCGAAAAAGGTACAATCGTCGTAAAAGGATAAATTACCGTTGTTAAAAAGTCGACCAAAAACAGCAGTAATATAAGATCAAAAACGGCGGTTCTTTACCGCCGTAAATAGATTCAAATTTTTAAAAAAATAATTCTCTCTTCATGCACCCCACAGGTCTCGAACCCTTGACCTCTAATACACGCACACCAACCACTCCACGCACGCCACTCTATATGAAATATGTTCCCTAAATAAATATTTAAACATTACTTTTGCTTTATTGTAGATGGTTATGTTCAACCTCTACCCGCGCGTGGTCACCACTCGCCAGAGCTCTGCGGGCAAAGACCGTCGTCATTAACGGCAGTAATGAGAGGGCTTTAGTGGCGGTTTCGTTACTGCCGTTAAAAGAGGGCTTTAGTGACATTTTTTTAACGGCGGTTTCATTACCGTCATTAGGCGATTTTTTTAACGGCGGTAACGAAATCGCCATTAAAAATACATTAACAGTAGTATTAACGACGATAACAAAAATTGTCGTTAAAAAAATTACCGTTAATGTCTTGCTTGGACGTAATGGTTCAAAAGAAAGCAAAATAACAGATCACAATAGAAGAATAAGAAAAAGCATGAATGGAATATATATATAATATATATAATTGTTGATTTCTTAGTTTGATTTTATCATGGAGCTTGCTGTAGAGTAGTATGTTTGCATTGATTTGAGTGTAGCTTTAAATTTAGTTGGGATAATGACTTGAACATGCCTACTCAAAGTTGAATGTATGGATAGGGGCGTGCTATTTGAGAATGGAATTACAAATTAAATAATGAGTTAGTGAATTGATAAATTTAAGTTTGGATGATTTTTAATAGATTGGCGGATTGAAAAATATTTTAACTAATTATTATACATTTGTATAATATAGAACAATAATTCATATAATATTTTTTGAATATATAATACAAAGTAATTTTATATAATATGTTTTATATATATAACCTCTAATTTGTAATAAATTTCATATCTTAAGTCTCTCTCACATTCATTTTTACATATATATGTATTAACTATAGCAGAATAAAGCTAATGTGGACAGTATTCTTATAGTCAGAGAGTTCCCAAATGTTTTTCCAAATGACTCGGTGTAGACGTCCCCGAACGTCCCGGGAAAATCCCGTTTTGTTCATTTGGGCTCACTACAGTTCGGACTCAATGTCACGGTTCTTAATCTGATCTTACAAAGTGCAATGCAAGATCGATAAATCACCAAAGAGTCAAAATCCGGCAAATCATTTTGAAAAACTAATTTTTAGAAAGAAGTGCCAAACATGGACTGCTTTGCCAAATACAGAGTCGAAAACCTAAATATTTTATTTTGGGGGAATTTAGGAAACCTTGACTCGTGCCTAAGGCCACGTGTCCATCATCACCAAAGTTGCCTCGGCTCGGGAACTTGGGTAGGATTGGGGAAGGTCACTTCGTGAGCACCCCCGCTCGCCCGATCAAAGATCGGCCTCTACTAACTATGATATCGAGTTTTGAAAACATTATGTGCTCTTATTCCAGTTTATTAGCCTAGAATTACTATGTGATGCGCACAGCATACAAGTATAGACTGGATCACCCAAGTTAGAACAAAACATCTCATGTTTGTTTTTTAAAGCGATTTGCTACTCGCAAGTAGGCTAAAATGCGGATTTTGCCACCCTCAAGTGGGCTTAGAAAAATATGGTGATTTGCCACTCTCAAGTGAGCTTAAAACTCGCAATCAATGAATTATTCCAATTCAAATAATCCAACCTTCACCCATAGGCATTCAGGCAGTTATATCACATAAGCAGTTAGCCTCATGGCAAGCATGCTATCATGGCAGTCACTCACACACATGCAAGGATGCTAAAGCATAAACACTCACTGAGTACTCCAAGCCAAAACAAAAACTAGTTAGTAATCAATGCATGATCCTAGTTCATGTTAAGATGGTTAATGCAACACATGCAAGATGCAACTAAGATAGACTCAGCTATTCCAAGATGGCATATGAGGTGCTACAGATAACATGTATTCAACTCAGAATTGAAATACAATGCAGTTAGTATGATGCGCCGAGCCCGGTGCATGCGAGACAGATGAATGAATGCAAACATACAAAGCATAAGGATGCTAATTGAAACATGCCCTAAAACTAACCATCGTAAGCTGGTAAATAAAAGGGAGAAAGATGTGGGGTTGGAAGACATGCATCACACACACGCACACTTATTACAAAATTCGCCCTCTCGACGGAGCGTCCGAATAAATAATACACAACCGAATGAATAACGAATTACAGCTAATTATTACGCAACCCTAATTAATTAACAAATTAACTATAATAAATAAGCTAGCATGCAAAACATATGAAACGAACTGCCTCAGCTCGGTCTTAAATGGCAAGGAATGCATGCATGCTCGAGTCGCCTTGCCGGAAAATCCATCGCGATGCCCCGATTTGCCTCTGTTTGCAACTGGTCCTAGAACACTGTACAAAACTCCAGAAGGCTAAAACTCCACCATGCTGTAGGGATACTACTGACCAATTTTTGCTGCTAGCTTCCAGTTTGCTGTAACAGAGAGCAAAAAAGGGACATGGCAAAGTATTTTCAACATATGTGTGCACGACCATTCTCCCCATCATTACATAAGCTCTAGGGAGGGTAGTCCTCAATCCTCATGCCACCAATCACGCATCTCGATACATGATGGCCGAGGAGTCGAATTGCATGACTCAATGTGAAATGGATGCACAAATGAACACAATAAGGCCTAAACTCCATCATGGGTAATCCGGAGTGTCGGCGACCGAGAATCGAAACACGTTTCGTCACTTGGGGTACGAGACGTCCCTCGTTTTCCATGTTTGGACTAAACCCTATTCCAAACACAATGCAATAACTAGAATGGTATAGCATGCAAACACAATGCAACAACTAGCATGCAATCCTAAGCGAAATGCAACTAAGGCATGCAAACATGCAAGGAATGACATGCAAAGGTGCAATCAGCATACGTATTGCTATGAACTACGAATGACATACTCAATGCACATGACGCTATATGGCATACACAATGCACATATGACGATGGACATACACAAAGGCATAATTAAGGCATACACAATGCGACGATCAAGCATGCGACAACGTGGACATGGCATACACAATGCAAGATAGACTTAAACTAAAATGAATGGGCCTCAGCCACACTCAAATCAGTGGCCAAACATGATGAAATTAGGCAACAAAACACATGCAAACATGTACAAATGCAAGGGACCAAACCTAAGGCACCAAATGCAACTCTATCAAAGCATGGCAAGGGATGAAATATGACATACAAACACACATTTTCCAACTCTGAAATGACATGCAAGATAGTCCCGAATCATGCAAACATGTCACACAATGCATGCTAGATGACCTAAATACCGAAACTAGTGAAGCGCATTACACTAGAGGCACATAAAGCAATGCGCAAATGGCAAACCCAACCCCAAATAGACCCTATGCAGGTCCAAGATAGTGGGAAAATGGTCTAAAATGATGGCTCGAAAGGCACGGAAATGAAGCTCATGCAATGGTCCAAAAACGAGGCATACAAGCACAACCCTCA